AGTTCCCTTTTCATTGTGAATGGGAAGGCTCTGACTTTTACTATATAGCCCTGAGTTTTCTTTAGATGTCACCAAACATTTTAGTATTCACCGGTCATAAGTCATGAAGGATTTTTCTGACCACATTTCTCCCTCATCGATGGCTCCCCACTGTCCTTCTCGTTTTAATGATATACTGCACAGTTCTCATCCCAAATTCAGCAGTTTCTACAATCTCCTTAGATGTTTTTTTTCCTGCTTGATTCCAATAATTTGACCCTTGTTAAACAGACCAGCATCTTTCCCACAACCACAGAATGTATTTTCCTCATGATTGCTTAGGAAATGAGAAGCTCATCGCATCAGCCGTGTTTACAAAAAAAAAAAAAAAAACTATGCCAGCTAGAAGACAATTGTTCATGCAATAACTATCCAACAGGAAGCTCATACCTGCATCCACATGGCAATTTATTTTTGTTTTGGCCTGGCAGTGTACACATATATTAATGGAGTGCATGGAGAAAATACCTCCAAACTCTATATAACAGTGTTTACATAGATTGAATGATGGAATATCCTTCTCTAGTTTCAATAACCAATGTGTATATGTGTATTTTTGGACCTGTTTTACCTTCTGGTGACATTCAGTGATCAGCAACAAGTGGGTGAGGGGACAGCTTTGAATAATTTAATTCTTCACTCAATTAGTGAAAACTAGAATCCTTCCAGGACTTTCTCTTGCATCTCTTTAAACAAACTTTGACGCTTTGCAGGAATATGATAGAAAATCTTAGTTGTTTTCAAATTGCAAGTCCTCAAAACCTTCGCATATCTCATTGATGGTAACTGGCTCTTAACTTCCAGCCAATTTAGCTCTGATACAAACTTTTTTCTTTATAGTTAATAAACTTGTAATTGGACAAGTTTGTCTATTGAAAGAGCTAATTAGAAAAGAGTTGAGTGTATATATTTTACACTCCTTTTTATAAAATTTTCTCCCAACTCTTTTTATGCTGTCTGTATAACAAAGGGCTGTTTTAGTTTCTTTGCACACCACTGATCTTTATGTAAAGGATGGAGGTAAATTGGTACATAAAAGCTGATGCACCTCTTAACAAGAACTGCAAGTGGAAACAGCAACAGTTTCCACTCCTCTAATCAGGCAACACAAAGCAGCATGGGCTGCTTGTAATCACTTGTGAGACTTCTGAAAATATATCTCCTTCTTGCAGTCCTGCTGAAAGGTGGAGGAGAAAGTGTGATGTGTGTAGCAGTAGAGGACACATCTGCAGATCCAATTTTCCGTGGTGACAGCCTGAATGAGGTGAAAAAGCCTCCAGGAGGGGACAGATGCTGCTGGTTAATAAAGAATAGATGTCTTTTCCCCCTGGAAACAGAGGAATCTGATCTTAGCAACTCTTGAACATGTCCTTCCTTTGTTCTTCCATGTTCTCTCTGACTTTTTTCATTTCTGTGGCAACAATGTGCCGTTTCCCTCTGTTGCATTCCACCTTTGCATCTCTCCAATCAAATGAAAAATCTTCAGCATCTCAATAGGCAGGAAAATCATTTCTAACCAACAGGTTAGGCTCAGATTTCACATTCTGCTGTCTCCGTCTCTGTTGTGAGTGTGTGCTTCGGTATCACTGCATGTACATTTATTGTTTCTGCAATCTTAGCTCTGCGTTAGCACAGCCCGTATACATTACTGTCATAGAGCGGACAGATAAACTTCTTGGTGTCTGGTTGCCTTTGCGCTGTGTATGAGGATATTGATTCCACACAGAAGTAGTTTTTCTGTCACCTTGTCTGTCTTGTGTTTATATTTGTGCAACTTTCAGTAGATATTAGGATATTAGGAAGACAGAAAATGGTCCTCTTCTGTTTATTAGACATTGTGATGCTATAATGAGGTGCAGTCTTGAATCACCATAGCTTAAATGAGCGATAGGAACCTCAAGACAGAAAATCCTCAAGGGATCTGAATTGATACGTAGCCTGTTAGCGAAGTTACTGCTTTCTTCCACAATTCCTCTCAGAAAAAACATTGAAAGTGAAACACATTGAGACAGTGGGACTTAGAGGAAACACATATTTGTCTCATTATGTTATTTGTGCTGCACAAGATGACACCCTCACTTGAAGCCATGCTAGCAGAAAACATCAGATGGTGGCTGATGGCTACCGCCTGCATGGATTCCTATTGATATTTATTTGTTCATGCAACATTACAAGCTGACAGTGTTAGGGTACTTTATGGAAAAAATAATCACATAAAATATTATTCTACGGTTTCATTAAACTGGAGTAAGTCTTCATGTCTGTCCTTTGTGTCTCACATTTGCTTTCCACCCTCTTCACTACTCTGATACCCCTAAAAAAAAATTCAGTACAGTCCATCCAAAACTGAACAAGTTTTGTAAATGCATTAGAAATATTAAGGACATAACAGAACAAACAACTTCATGAAGATCAGTGAATGCATTATTTAAAAAGAGAACAAGTATGATAAAATGGCAAACCAGCCAAAACATGGCAATCCACCTAAGCTGACAGGCCCGACACGTGCACATCAATTATAAAAGTGGACAACTGGTCTTAATGGAGTCAGTTTTTACAACATCCTGAAAGTCTACCAGTTCTGAGGATGTGCTGTGTCATTATGGTTTCACCTAGAAACACTTTTAACTTTCATTTAACTCCGGAGGAGCTGCAGAATCATTTAAATCATACTGTTAAACATTCTAAAGTCAAGCTTTCAGCAGTAAGTAGTTTATATTTATTTCTTTTATTAATATGATCTTTATTTAAAGTTGGTAATACTGAGTTAAAAGGTGACCAAATGCATATTTCCTTTTGAAAACTTATGCTTCCCTTTAACCACACTGTCTGCTAAACGGTCTGACTGCAGTCACCACCAGCAGAAATTATCTTCACCTTAGCATGAACTGTGTGGTGTCCATATCCCTTTGACCTGGGATGTTTTAACCTGAAAAGCAAGATTTTGATTAAGACTGAGGTGTTTTGCAGAAATAAGTATATCATAATCTTTGGCAAAAAGTGTAACAAATGGAGAGTCTCCTTTTGTTGAGTAAGAAATCTGCTCTCTTTATTTTGTTTTTACAAATCTCACCTACCTTTTCTACATTGCAGAATCTATTAGTCACTCTGGGAATAAGAGTGTTTTCCACTAAACCTTTTAGTGTGGCCAACAAGCAAGTACACATCCATTTGATACATACCCTATAGAGTGTGAAGGAAACACTCCATTTTCTTAATTAAAACAATTGCTATTTCATCATCCATATATGCAAATGATAATTCTGTTACAGTGAGAAAGGTTTAATGGCTATATGTGTCCATAGTACATTTTGAAATATGAAAACAAGAAACAGTTTGTTTCAGGCTTTCTTTTCAGGTTGTCTATCTGTAAAATGTGCCTTTTCAGATGCACTTATGCTGTTATTTCAGTAATGGTGAAAATAAAAATAAAGCCTTAATAAAACCCTAAATACTGAGCAAAATTAGAAGTTGCTGCTCAGTTTCATCTTATAGTGCTGCTTTAACCCATTGGTGCTCTCTGCATATTTCCCACTATTTTAGACAGATCTTGAAGAAATTGGAGTATGATCTCCACTGGGGTGCATTCCAGCTGGAGTTGGGCTTAATTCTACATAAGTTTTCTGGTTTCAGATCAATGAAGGAGTCTTCAATTTGTATAGTGGTGTCTGTAATTGACCAGTATTCATATCCCACAGGGAGAATTGCATCTTAACAGAGGACATCGTGTGGAAATAATGGATTCGTTCTCCCATAAACGAGTCAAAGTTTTCCTAAAGACTTTGTTTGCAGCAGCTGTTTTCCACAGAGAAAAAAACAATACTTCATCTCTTTAGAATGACCAGTGCTCAATTTAAGTTTTTTGGTTAAAGAAACAGTTTCCTTACATTTAAAGTTGTCAAGCAGAGTTCACTGAACATGTAATTATGCTGCTTTGAACAGATTATTTACTATATAAGCTAATAAACTCTTACATTTTCAGTACGTTAGTATAAGTTGAAGCAGCTTAGATTTCTGTAGGATAAACCAAAGCTCTTTAAAATTTAAATAGAACCCCTAAATTAAGTAATTTTTGCCAACAAACTGTAAATAGGTTATTTAGGGTTTTATTTTTATGTTTCTGTGGAATTGTTTTGTGTCTGGAATGCCATTTAATATAACAAGAAAGTTTAAAGTATGCAGCAGTGCTTCCCTCTTCCTGACCACAACCCCACTGTTCCACTCCAGTCCACACTTGGCCACATCCCTCCGTGTCTCCAGGCTCCACCCACCTTGCTGGGATTTCTCAATATGTGCGAGGGCTATGCTTTCACTTGGGGGTTAGTTACACATTAAGTTTCTTTTTAGTGTTTCTTCCTCATTTTGCATTAAATGTTCTTTTGAGCACCGCCAGCTGAATGTGTCTTCACAATGTTAGGTCAACAGAAGTTAATTACACATTTACAAACAGATTTCACAGTCTGGGAGTGATGCATAAAGATTTATTCTCCATTTGCTTTAATCTTTGGCATTGGTTTCTTAAGCTCAATATTGTCTGTAAAAACAATTTGCATACAAAACTTTCACAGAGATGTTTAAAAGTTAATGGAACATGATACCAACCTGTAGGCATTTGCACGCTTCAGAAAGGATGCCACAGTCGTGACACAGTCAAAAGATGCTTGCTAGGTGATATTCGAATTTGGATGGACATTATTGCATATTGTCTTGCCAATATATTCCACACTCACTTTCCGTTTCCAAGGAAACATCACTGTGCAAATCAATCAAATGTTACTGGAAAGAGAAGACATTTCTCAGCATCTCCCCCACCAAAAATCTCTGTGTCACTGTTTGTGTGCATGTGCATGCTTCTTGCCCACTCTCTGCCGCAGATAGTTATTCCTCCCTCCCTCCCTCTCATTTTCTATGCCATCTCCAACTCATCCTCTCTCCCTTCTTTTTATCGGCCGACTCTCTCTCACTCACTCGCTTTTCCCCCTCACAACATTCACTTCCTGACAACCACTGCCAAAAGGACTAACAGGCGCAGCATAGCCCCAGATTCCATCACTCGAGGAGGGCCTAGAAGAAAATAAAAAACACAGACAAGACAGAAGAGAAAAAAAGTTAAAACTGGAGCCCAGTGTTTTGACACTTTGGATGTCTGTGTCGCTTGCTTGTAGCTTCAGCATTAATGGCAACCGATGGCGAATAAAGGAGGTTGACTCAGACAGATTTTGTGAGATAGCTGATGAATATCAACCCACAAGCCATCTGCAGTATTAATTGGAAGTTTTCACAACTTATTCACTGAAAATTTGCAACTGGATCGAAGTTGATAAAAAGCTACGAAAGAGAGTCAAGGACAACTTTCCTAAACTTGGACAAGGTGTTTAGATTGAGCGTGGCTGCGTTGCTGGCAAGGATCAGAGCAGCCCGACTTGGCTTGGTGGTACGGTTCTGGGCGATGACATACGGCGGTCCCCCAGGATGTTAAGCTTGGATGGCTTGGAGATGATCGCTGTGTTGGTGGTCATGGGTCTCTTCATCAAAGTCCTGGAACAATTTGGGATGTTCGAGCCTGTTGGTGGGGAAGGTAAAACTTTTTATATAATTTTTTTTATAATTATGCTGAATATTATCAAAGTTACAGAAACGCGCAACTGAATGCTTGAAAGGTTACTTTTAAGTGTGCTGCCCTTTTCCTCCGGTTCTCAGTTGGCAACAGTTCTGCCTAAGGGTTCCTGTTACCGGTGGGCCGTGCAACACTCTATCCCTCCCTCTCCTTCCCAAACACACACACACAACCGTGTAACTTTAGCTGTGTGTGTGGACTTCCTCTGCCCCTTGGGTGTGTGCTTTTACCTTTCAATCGATAACACAATGGAAGGAGTGGGTCTGAGTGCTCTGAAGAGACACCAGTTTCACTGAGGGAGTGCCAGCGTTACTTTTAGAGCTCACATTAGCTCACAAGGTTTATATGGGGATGCAGAAAGAAAGGAAATACGGTTCTACTGCAGATTATAGCTGACATGTTTTGTGGTCTAGATTGACATAATGCATATTAAACAATCTAATTTCATTCATTAGGTTTTTCTATAAAAAACTTTCTTGATATCATAAATTGTTTTACCTTCAATTAAACTTTTTTGATAATTCTATTCTATTCTATTGCAACAGTGCTTTCCACTAAATATATTATTCTATATGGAATAATATATAGAATATATAGAATGTTATATAGAATAATTTTATATAGAATATAGAATTATTCTATATTTTAGAATATATATATATATATATTCTATTAAAGTAGAATAGCATATTATGTTCTCATCATCCATCAGTGGGATGATTCGGTACCAGATGCAAGGTGATAGGCAAGACAATAAATTGGAAAAGCATTTCCCTCTAACAGATTACAACTGTATTTACTAGGTTACAATTTACATGTTTCCAAATTTTGTAGTTATACAATACAAAGAAAACTTGTGAAAAAAACAAAATGCTGCTTATAAAAAGGTGAAAAAGTTTTCTTAATTAACCGGGTAGTAAGACCTGATCTCCTCTGTGGGTTTTGTTCTTTTCAGCAGAATTATTTTAATTCAACTATGGAGGGTTTTTATCCTTTTTCATGATAAAATTACAATCAAACTTTGGATATTTCTAAACCCTTTTTTCAAGCCATTCAGAAGTGGACTTGCTGAGATTTTTAAAATAATTTCTGTGCTGCTTAGCCTAAATGTGGCTGGGGTTAGGTCATAAAGAGAATTGACGGGATATTTCTTTTCTTTATGTCAGAAGTTATCACCAGGCTTTGCTTCGCCTGTCTTCTCAAAAATGACCTAAGTTTTGCCCTGTTTGCCTTCAATCTGCTCAACGTTGTTCACATCTTCTTATCACTGTCTTCACTGTGACAATAGGGCAGATGGGCAATCTTGATCCTATCGTCTGTTCTCCTACCCTGTCTGCAATATGTTGTCTGGATCATAAGATTTCTCTTTTAATGACCATTAGCACTAATGCACTGTACTCCAACTATAAATTATAATTTGAGAGACAGGCTTGCCATACATACTAAGATAAAAACAGCAAAGACTAAGACTTTTTTTTTCTAGCAGATCATCCTAAAGCCACTTTTCATCCCTGATGCACCCTTTGGACTGACTCCAGCAGTCAAGGTGTGCCAGCAGCTCTGTCAACTAAAAAACAAACAAACTTGGAAACCTAATATCCATGCCCCTGCACTCTACAAGTACTTGTACACAGAGGCAAACAAACACAGATATATACAAACGCATGGAGCTCAAATTACATTATACTTCCATTCCTGACAGCATTTCAGTGTTTAACATATTTTGATAATATTTTATGAAAATTGCTGCCTTAATGAGTATATCTGCGTGTGCCAACTCCCCGGTGAATACTTACACTAATGAAATTTTTTAATGGAGGAGCTTAGTCCAGATGGTGGAATGACTGTAGCGTTCAGACTCCTCAGAATCACTAAAGGATTAGGAGACCACCTTTCAGTGTGTGCTATCCACTTGTAAGCATGGATCCATAATCATTTGCTTGTTCATATTGAAAGCAACTTATTGTGTTGAGTTTTTGCTGTAATGTTTTCATTTATTGACTTGTAAATCAATCTGTTACTTCCACATTAGTCTATTATAGTGGATGCTTCTATGTAGACTTCTAATCCTCTTATATTCCTTATTTTTATGCATGTTGGTTTTAATATGTTTATGTATTTTTTTCTGAACAAAACAATGAAAAGTTAAAAGAAGAAAAAAAAATGTTTTTAATGATCCTTTCTTTTGAAGACCCATTCTGTGTCATTTTCTGGTGAGTCAGAACAAGGAAAGTGAGGGGAAAAAATACATTTTATGCTCATTAATTTAATGAGCTGTGTTGCTGACCCTGCACTAAATAAACAGCACCTAATTTTGCAGAAAAAAAATATAGTGAAATGAACATTTCCTTTTGAGTGTTTATGAAAAGCACTTTAGTCTCTGAAGTTTTACGACTTACTGACATATTTTAGAGTAATGGGTATTGACAGGGATGTGCTGTTTAGCGTATGAGGTGGATATTGAATGGGTTGATCTGTGCAGTACTGAGTGGCAGCATGTCTGTTGAAACTACTTCCTTCCCTCTCTTCTTTTTCCGTAGCCTTATAGAACTTTAATTTACCTTACAATACAAAAGCAGTGATTATGTATTGTTCTGTTATCCTGCTCTTTCTGTGTCTGGTAGGTAGAGATACCTTTATCTATCTCCCAGGTTTACAAAGCATAGAGCCCCTGAAATCTACTGTTTGTTTATTGTTTCTTTTAGTCTTTCCTTGTTAAATCTTGTGTGAAAGATTTGGCACGTTTCCATGTCCACCACAGCATTTTTTCTTGTCATTCATCTTGAAGGAAATGAACTTGGCACTGGGCTTTGTGAAGTAGTTAATGCCTGCGACAAGACTGAGGACTGGGGGCTCCTCCATCACTTTTGATACTCTTATGTGTCATATCCATTTTAATGACGTAGCAACTGGACAAGAGCCACGGCTACATTAACAGTCATCGATCCATGATTTTTTCTTATTAGAAATCAGGTTGTCGAGATAAGAGGCTAGGTAAGAAACTCACACAACAATCTTATTATTCAGTGGCTGTTCATGCAGGGCTGGACCAAGGTAATATTATTATATTATTAGGGCTTAATTATTAAAATGGTAGAAATTTGCTTATTTCATACCCAGCAACCTTCTCTCCGATGGTCTGTTTAACAGCTATAGTCTCAGATCAACTCGGCCCTCCAGGAGAAACAGCAACTTTATACCTGTTGGAGAAAATATACTACATTTGTTTTGAATTTCCCCACATGACGGTAATGATATAGTAGGATCCAATTAAATTCTTGATTAATATAGGTTGTTGCTATGTTGTTGTATGGTGTTTTAAGATCTTGTTCAATGTGCCCCTTTCTAATTTTGAGCCCCTGCCCCTCCAAAGGCCTCTGCACGGCCCTGCTTTATTACATTACATTTCTAAGCTAAAAGGAAAATTTAGCCCCTCCCAAAAGTTCTGTCTTTTCCTAGGTCTTCTCCCAGTGGAAAAATCCAGAAAAGCCTTCAGAAGAAGACATTGATCAAATATTGCCTTAATTGCCTTGATTAGGTACAGAGCAGCAGCAGTTCCCTCCAGATGACTGAGCATGTCAGTGTGTGATTTAAGCTCAGTCACCTTATGGAGAAAAGATTTGACCCTTGTTATGATTCGTATCTCATAACCATAGATAGGAGTTGTGCAGCAAAAATTGGTCGTAAAGAGTTTTGACATGCCAAACTACAGTTGATTATAATGAATTCCAATAACATACATAGGAGTTACTTTATAATATAAAAAATTTGAACAAGTTCAAAGGGATGGCAATATATTGTCAAGGCGCTGCAGTGCACTACCTCAAAGAATTAGATGACAAAATGGAGCAGGCTGAAAGGATCTTTACTAGATGTCTGGAAGGCGAAGCTTAATGTCATGGTTAGAAAGATGTAGGTATCGTTAAGTGCAGAAGCTCCATGGTTTACGTCCAAATGTGAAAGCAGCTATTGAAGATGTTAGCCAATGATAGAGAGGTATTGGTATAATGCAGAAGAATAAGTGCTGTTAAAATGTTTTGCTGGTCACCAGAGGACCCATTTATGTCTGATTTCATGCACACACCTTTATGTCCATCTGCCCTCTCTGTAATTGCCCTTCAGTTGATAGGCGAGCTAATGGAGAATGGAGTGTGTTTGTGCTCGCAGTATGGAGCTGTGGAGCTGCACACACTCCATGGGTTCTCAGAATCATAAAGCCTTCACTTTAGAATCTCAACAGGAAAAGAAATGTCAGAGACAGGCTATTATTTCAGAGTAATGAATTGCTTAATAAGTCTTCTTTCTGTTGTGTTGCTAAAACAAGGGTGAACAGTATTATCCCTCTCTTAGTGGTTTGGAGCTGAAGTATATCAATAATTTAGTAAACTTTATTAAATCAGCAGTGAATGTGAAGGAGTGTGTCCTTGTTGTCCTTGTCTGGATCTCTTTCTATCTGTGCACCGCTGTTGGTTAGCCAACTATAGATGAGAGTCTGGGACACAAGAAGGATCACACAGGGGATATCTAATACCCAACTCACCCCCTCTCTACCTTATTCTCTCCTTCTTTTGCGTTCCTCTTTTGTTCCAGCTGGCACTGCACCTTTGAATTTGATAGTAGCTGTATGCATGTCTTCAAGCTACTATGTGGATGAGAGAGAAAGACCTAAAGTTGGTGGTTCAGATCATGTGAGTGAAAAGATAACACTGTGAATGAAGTAATTCATTTTGTCTTTCTCTCCCTGCCATTCACACCAACAGAGCTTTAAGAAAATGTTTAATTCCCAATAAAAGGTGAACGAGAATATTGTAAAGCTTTGTTTTAAATCTAGATAAGAAGCAAACTGCCTTCACTAAGTGAAACAATACAGCTAAATATGCATTACTTTCTTATTCTTGCCAAACATTACTCCAAAATTATAATGTTGATTAATCTTTTTGGCCCTTTCTGGCACCCTTTTC